CTTTTGTAAATTCTGTAAAAACTTCTCTGTATTTGGAATAACTTTGTCTAACATTTCAATCTTTGCCCTAACAGAAAACATCACAAACCATATTCCCAGCAACGTCTTAATGCTTTCTCCACTGAGCACCTTACTAAATACGGCGGTCTTTTCCCGTCGGGTGGCAACCAGTGCCAGGAGTTGAATCAGTCCTATAGCGAGGGCGACTCGTACATAGACGTGATCAACCACAACGCGGCCAAGAAGATATGTCCGCACGGGAACACGGTGGAGGAGTTCGGGAAGGCGCACCAGAAGTGCGTCAAGGGCCAGTTCGGGGACCACTCGTCGGAGTTCAACCAGAAGCACGAGCGGATGTGCATCAAGTTCAACCAGCGACCTTTGCAAAAGAGGTGAGACTGTTGGAAAATCTAAATCAAATTATCAATTTAACTGCATACTATTCTTAGCTTATGACGAGAGAACTAACAAATCAATGTAAGGAAAAGGATTTTTATTTAAAGTTAATGGAGGTTCCGGGTATTTCCTGATTTAAAGTGCGCATAATTAACATTAAATTTAATTATTTAATTAGCTTTTTATTTATTTTTACTGACTTTAAAAATAACCTTACTTATCACCCTGCCCCTATCCTTTTAATTTATAGCTCATGTTTTGCTTTAACCTTCATCGTACTAACCTAATTACGCATACAATATTAAACCATACCTATTAACACTAGCCTACCTGTAATCCCACCTATAATAATGCAAAATATGTATAAATACACCAACATAATGAATACAAATACATACTTTTTTTTACGTTACATCGTAAAAAGAATACTCTTGAAGAAAAAAAAAGTAGAGTCAGAATTTAATGTTTCCTTTATAACTATCAGAGTGAAACTTTTCTAAGATACCTACTGATAAGCTCTGATAACTTAAAGAAATGGAGCATTTCGTCTCTGATAGATGATTGATCAAAAATGTCCTGAAGACACACTAACCGAAACTCTGATACATGACACACAGTAAGCATGAGCATTCCCATAGGAAGGGGCAGGACACGTCGATAACGTCCGTGAATTCCAGCGGCCAGGACTCCGGCATCGCCGAGGCGCGCTGCCCCTGCGGCCAGTCCAGCGTCCACACCTCCGAGGAGAGCAGCGGGTACTTGCTTTTGTTTTGAGCCTCAAGGCTTCTCCAAACAGAACGCGTACTTAGCGCGCGCTAGAGCGTTAGCCTGACGTCGCACTGTAGCGTCAAATTGTGTTGTTAAAATGTGGATAGTTTCATGTCAAACACAGTGCTGGCGCTAGCAATACGCAAAGCTCTGTCGCAGCGTTAGGATGGTGTGACGCTGGGTTCTACATTCTACCAATATAATTCAGCGTCAAAGCTCGACGTCAGGCTAGCGCTCTACGCCGCGTAAGTACGCGTTCTGTTTGGTGAAGCCTTTATTTGTATTCACTAAGCGAAATAATTAAACATTCCATGTCTAGAGAAGTGAGGTGATGTCGTGAGCAGCAGCCAGACATCTTGTTACGTGAGCATTTTCATAAAAGTACAAGTCAAGGACGTGTCAGTACTCATGAATGAACTTACTACGAGTTACAATCAGAGATCTCTGAACCGTGTCGTTTAATATTTAAAAAACGTAAACGTAACATTTATGCTTTAGCAATGAGAAACTAATATATCGCGCTTCGTTGTCGGCTTTTAATCATCGTTTCAGAAAATTATGCGCGTTCAATAACATTAACTGCATAATTTTCATGTGCCTTGTCTTACTAAGACTCATTTTCCAGTTGCAGCTACGAGGACTCTCTGAAGTCCAACCACAACCAAGAAGGGCGCAAGGCGTACCACAGGGAAGAGCCGACGTTCCACCGCCGCGCGTCCTTCGGGCACCAGCCGCTCGACCCGCGGCACCTCCACCACCGGCGGCAGTCCTTCTCCGAGAACATGCAGCGCCACTTCCCGCCCCACGAGAGGATATCCACTGGCGGGATAACCAGGCAGATATCCACGCCCAATGTGTCCAACATTGGCCAGCCATACTTCGTCACCAACAAGAAGAGTTTGCGACGAAACGAAGTCTTGACTGAACCGATGATCGACTACGATCACAGCGAGGGTGAGGATGTGTTTGATACGAGGATAGACAGGAGGCCGAGCAAGAGCCACAAGAGAGGGAAGTTTATGGAGATAGGAGGGCAAGCGGCCGTGTTTGTGGCCACTCCCGCGGCGGCTGAAATCATGAGGAGGCAGGGAAGTGAGAGACTCATGTTTGCCCGACCTTTGTAGTGCTCGACTTAGTGAAATTTAAGACTTTGAAAAATGAAGTTTAGCCAAACTGACTTTTAGGTTGTGTTGACAATAACATTCTAGCAAAATGTTAATTGAACAAAACTTATTTTTGTACAATCGTATCTAGGTAGGTAATTTACCTAGGTTACTTTACAGTTTATCGCTATTATTATAAAATGTGATAAACCTTATTTTTCAAAACGACCAGTTTTAAAATTGGTTACCAAATTGTAACTTAATTTTAGTTTACTAGTAATATTTTGTGAATAGCTAATATGTACACACTGTAAATAGGACTGTAGATATTCTTTAAAATTAGGGTAAAAATCGTCTTCGCTTTACCGAAATTTGGTCCACACGTGTCCAAAGAAAATGTTAAATACTCATTGTAAGTGTGCCATTTGGTCGTCTTCAAAACAAACGGAAGACTTATTAATACTTATTTACCACCTCTACAATAATTACTGCGTGATGCGTATTTATGTAATGTAAATTGTATTTTTGTAAATAATTTTTAGATAATACAGAATTAAATGTATTATTTGCCATGCGATTGTTTTTGTTAAAACCAAATACATAAATATTAGATAAATTATAAAAAGCTAAAAGGAGATGTATAGTGAGAATATAACTTTTACAATTTTATAAGATGCCACCACATATTTCTTCTTGCATTAAATATTACTCAGAACAGGCATATTGAACAAGCATAAATAAGAGACCTCATTAATTTTTTAAAATAAGTATTTAAGAGTAGGTATATTTACATTATTTAGATTAATCTAAAACAAGGAGCATTAAGAAACGAAACACGTTACAGGCCGTTTGACTGCGTTAAAATGAGGTGCTATTAATCTTCGTCCGGCTAATCCGGACATTACCGGGGCAACCCGGACGCGTCCGGATGGGTTAAGGGGACATGAGGTTAGCTGCTGGGTCGACGACCGGTGGAAGATCACGAGGCAGAGGCTTTGGGATGCATTTTAATACTAATGTGAACCTTTGGACTATCGCTGAATTATTTTTTTTTCATCTTAATTGTCTCATGAAAATTTTAACAACATGTCAATATTTACTAATTTTATTAGAAAAAAATCAACTTAGAAAAAACTTACTGGTAGCCTCACTAAAAGAGTCTGTGAGACGAACAATGGCCACTTCATATTTTGGCAAAAACTTTTAAACATAGTATGAGCGTATCAGCGTAGGTAACTAAATATCCGAAGCAAAGCTCTTTTTAAAAAATACAATATTTTTTTGATAATTTTGAACTTCGTTTGCTGTTACATCCAAGTAGTCGCTTAGTTTAACTAGGCATACGTACATTGTATAGTAGAATTCAAAGTGCCTTTACCATACCATTTCCTTTTAGGGCATCGATAAACGCTAACATAGGTCGCTTAGGCCTCCAACAGTGCGACATAGCTATGTACTCCGAATTAAGTGTAAGGTCCGTAAAACAAAGCTTATTATTTATAGCCCTTTTACGATCTAAATAAAAAACCGGTTCGGGTGACTTGTTATTTACAGGGGCTTTAAGGCCGAAGTTAAGAATCTGGACAGGATTTTCATGTAAATAATTTCTACTGAAGTCAAAGGTCAAAATAACGCAAGTATCTGACCCGTTACGTAAGTTGACTCTGTTATTGTTTGTACAACCTACCTGACTTTGTAAATAAACCATTTTTCATCTTCATTTTCAACATTTAGATATTCTTTGTAAAAGGTAATTTAAGAAATTCTTTCACATGACTTTTTATTCTTGATGTTCTTCGAAATGCGCCAGCAGGACATCAATCAACCTATGAAATGACAGCAACAAACAGCAAGTTCTAGTTTCTAGTCAACCTGAAGTACCTGAGGTTTACAAGTTAGGTAAATAGTCATAAACCTACTTATTTTAAAGGTGCAATGAACTGTCCTTACATTAAAAAGTAATATTGGAAAATAACTCGTAGTGATAAGAAACAGTCACTTGGACCAGGAGGAGAAACTTTGCAAACAAGAAAAGTTTAACAGGTGATGATGGAAATAGATATATTATCCAGTGTGAGATGACAAGAATAATTTAGAAGGCATACCTGCCTATACTATGTATGATATTTACTGGTAAAACCTTACAGCTGTCTATTAACACGTTTATAATATAGCTGAATAAAGAGGTACCTAATTTTATGTATTAGGGTAACTAGGAAAATAATCAAAATATTTTTTTTTATTAATAACAGTTCGCCGACAACCTAAAACACAAATGGAATCACTAACCACAGAAATGCGCGAGCATTTTACGAGCTTTCAAAGGGGATAATATCTAAAACATTTTCATAGTTTGACTAACCAAATTATAAACCGAAAGTAAATAGAAACGGAAGGCAACTTCCGAAATTTATACCAAAGTAAATATTCATATTTACGGGGAATTTTGCCTTTTCTCCCACGCAGCAGTCATCAACCGCAACGAATTATTAGACTAATACAAATTCAAACTACCTACTAGTTTCGTTCGTGTAACGTCAATCAAACACAGAGACTAGAAACTGACTGGTTTATTATAAATTGTATAGCGCATACCCACATATACAACCAATATAAATCTAGATAAAACTACCCAACACCTTTCCCCTTTAAATTACCTAAGTGGTACTAATTAATTAAACAATCTTATGTCTGTTATTTATTTTCTTAATACGTGTTACAGTTTTAAATTAATTAAACAATCTTATGTCTGTTATTTATTTTCTTAATACGTGTTACAGTTTTAAACCAAGTAAGTATTACAATTGACATTTTACTTTTTATTTTGTGACCGCACGAAAGCCCTTACCGCCCGCGCCGAAGCCCCCGGCGGCGGCGGCGTCGGCGCGCGCGGCGTCGGCGGCGCGCGCGGCGACGGCGGCGCCTCGTCTCCGCTCGCGCCGGTCCCCTCTGATGCGTCCTCATAATTTTCCTCTAAGTCACTACTACTTTTCTCCCCTTTTTGAGTTCCAATACTCGCACGCGATAATGACAATCTAGATTTGTTACCAACTGGCAAAATTTGATCTCGGTGCCTTCGCCACTCGACCCCGTTACCAGTATCGACCCGGTAGGACACTGGTCCCGTCACTTTAGATACAGTTCCTAAAGACCATTTCTCAGACCGCGCGGAGTAGTCGCGTGCGAGTACCGGCTCGCCGACCTGTACTTGGGGAGTAGGCGTGCCCCCGGCGCCGGCCGCCTGGCGGCGCTGCGCCGCTTGCGCCACCGCCGCGACGTCGGGCCGCAAGGCATCGAGCCGCGTGCGCATGCGGCGTCCCGCCAATAATACTGCCGGTGACACACCCGTAGTAGCGTGATCACAATTTCTATAATATAACAAAAACTTATATAAAGCTTGTAAGACATTCTCACCAGAATGTATAGCTCTTTTGAGGGCCTTTTTTACAGTTTTGACTGCATTTTCTGCCGCTCCATTGCCCTGGGGCCTGTATGGAGCGGTAGTCACATGTTTTATACAATTATTGATGCAGTATTCTTTAAACTCTTGTGAGAAAAATGGGGGGCCATTATCGGTTACGAGTTGTGAAGGTAAGCCGAATCTACTGAACACCGACATAAATGCTGTGATAGTCGCTTGTGAATCTGTCCGCGTCATAGGAAGCGCCTCAATCCACTTTGAGTGGGCGTCTACTATTATTAAGTACTTTTTGCCCAGCAACTCAGCAAAGTCGGCATGCAAGCGCTGCCAAGGGACCAGCGGGAACTCCCACGGATGGAGCTGCGCCCGCGGCGGGGCGTCGCGCACCGCCCGGCACGCCTCACATGATCGGCATAGATTTTCCAAATCACGATCTAAACTCGGCCAATAAACATAATTGCGTGACAAGTTTTTCATTTTATTAACACCCAAATGGCCTTGATGTATCTCTTTCAAAATTTGGACTTGTAAGCTCGGAGGTATAATAATACGATATTTATAAATTAAACACCCAAAATCTAGTAATATCTCATTTTTCCTAGCAAAATAAGGTTTTTCTTCTTCACAATTCGGTTCCGACGGCCACCCAAATTTGACATATCCTACGATCCTACTTAAAGTCACATCTTTATTAATTTCTTTCTTAACATCGTGAAAATTTACTGGTAAACTTTCTTGAACTAAGTTAATGTAACTAATTGATTTGACGTCACCTCCTTCGCGTGCTAACGGCAGGCGCGACAGGGCGTCCGCGGGCCCGTTATCTTTGGATTTAACAAATTGTATGGTAAAATCATATGCAGCTAAACGTGCCGCCCATCGCTGCAAACGGCTGGCCGCGGTCTGTGGAATGCCTACTTTAGTATCAAAAATGTAACTTAGCGGCTTATGATCCGTACGCAATTCGAATTTTCTCCCAAAAAGATATTGATGGTGCCTAGTTATGCCATAAAATATCGCTAACGCCTCTTTGTCAATCTGGCTGTAGTTTCGCTCCGCTTCGTTGAGCGAGCGCGACACACAGCTGACCGGACGCTCGCCGTCTGGGAAGCGATGCGCGAGCACGGCGCCCAGCCCGTAGGCGCTGCTGTCTACCGAGAGTACCAGCGGCCTGCCCTCCTCGTAATGAGCTAGAACCTTATCTCCCAGCAAGGCCTGCTTTGCCTCTATAAAAGCCTTATTGCACTCCGGGCTCCAATTCCAATTGACTCCTTTTTTTAAAAGTTCGTGTAGTGGGTGTAAAATAATACTCAATTTCGGAATAAATTTACCGTAATAATTTAAAAGGCCCAGGAAACTTCTTAATTGAGTGGTATCACCAGGTACAGGTGCGTTACTAATGGCCTCCACCTTTTTTTTATCGGGGTGTAATCCATTTTCGTCAATTATAAACCCTAAATATTTGACACTTTTTTGTAAAAAACTGCACTTGCTTAATTTAACAGTTAAACCCATTTCTTTTAATCTCACTAATATTTGCCTTAAATTGTTTAAGTGTGAAACCCTATCATTACCGGTACAGCATATATCATCAAGGAAAACTACCGTCGACGGTATGCCCCTTAACGTTTCTTCCATTAATTTTTGGAATTTTTCTGGAATACACGATAAACCGAACGGGGTACGACGATAAACAAATGTGCCCACATGCGTTGTGATGGCCGTACACGGTTGTGAGTCCTCTGTTAAGATTGTTTGCTGGTATGCATGTGTCAAATCTATTTTAGTAAACTCCTTGCCCCCGCTCAAAACAGCAAATAATTCTTCAATACGAGGAAGAGGATAGTACTCACGTTTTAGCTTTTGGTTGACGGTGACCTTAAAATCTCCACAGATACGAATATCCCCATTCTCCTTAATAACTGGTACTATAGGCGTCCCGTAGTCTGAGTGATCCACTCGGTAGATGGTTCCCTCGGCCTCGAGTCGCTCGAGCTCGCGCTCGACGCGCGCGCGCAGCGCGATGGGCACCGGTCGCGCTCGCACGTAAACCGGTTCTTTATCAGTCAATTGCAATTGGAGTAACTTCTTACATTTCCCTAATTTGTCAGTAAACACTTCTGGAAATTCTGCTGCGAGCTTACTCACACATGGATCTTCAATGATTTCATTGAAATTTAACTGTTTAATATTTAAAGCTTTGATCCAATCCCTGCCTAAGAGCGGACGCCCTCCGTTTTTTATTACATAACAATGTAAATTACTAGCGACTACTTCGCCCAGCTTAACATTTACCGTAATAAATCCTAATGACTGAATTGGAGTGCCCGAATAGCATCGTAACATTAAGTTATCTGACACAATATTTTTATGTGAAAACATTTTGTTGTAAAATTGTTCGCTAATTGCTGAAATGCGGCTTCCAGTATCTATTTCACACTCAATCGAAAGATTGTCCACTTCCACTTTAATAAAAAACGGTTTGTTACCTTTGCATACCAGATCGATGTTGAATAAGTCCTCATCTTCAGAGAAGTCCTCACTTACGTAATTTTGTCGACCTGATTGCACACTACCGCGTACGCGTTGACACATCACTTTTAAATGACCACGTTGATTACACTCGTCACAATTATAATTGGCATATCGGCACCGATCCGCCCGGTGCGCCTTGCCGCACCGCCAGCAGCTCTGCGGCGCGTAAGCAGCGCTCGGCCCGGCCCCGGCTGCGCCCGCCGCGGCCCGCCGCTGCCCCGGGCCCCTGCGCCCGGCCGCCGCCTGCGCCCGCCTCGCGCTCGTGCTGTGTAGGCCCTCGCCCCCAGCTTCGCCGCCCGCACCCGAGGTCGTGGCTGCAGATGTCGCAGCGCTCACCTCCGCATGTCTCTCTGCGGCCTCCAGCGCCAGAGCCAGTTCCACCGCCTCTTTGTATTTGATATCTTTCTCGGCAAAAATTCTCGATCTCATCGCCACGTTTGACAGTCCTGACACAAATTGATCGCGTAGGTTCTCTTCGAGCGACGTCCCAAAGTTACATGTTGTAGCTAAGTGTTTCAAATCTTGTAGGTAATCCGACATCGATTCGCCCGGTCGCTGTCGCCGTAAACGAAATACGTGGCGTTCTGCAATCTCGGACCGCTGTGGTTCCAAATGATTGGATAGTAATTTCACCAACTCGTCGAATGTTTTTGTTTCAGGGTCATTGGGAGCACACAAGTCACACATAAGCGAATAAGTTGTTTCACCCACAACCGTAATTAATAACGGTACACGTAACTCGTCCTTGATTTCGTTGAGTAAAATATATTGTTTCACGCGACGAATATACGATGGCCATTGCTTAGAGTGTACATCAAAAGGTTCCAATGTACCAATAGGCATTTTAACACAAAAAATCACGCGCGTTGGATTCGATTATTTGCTTAAAAGCAGCCCGTCGCCAGTGTAACGTCAATCAAACACAGAGACTAGAAACTGACTGGTTTATTATTGTATAGCGCATACCCACATATACAACCAATATAAATCTAGATAAAACTACCCAACAGTTCGTTTCAGCCAAATGACGTCCACTGCTGGACAAAGGCCTCCTCCAAGGTTTTCCACAATGCACGGTCCTGCGCTGCCCGCAGTTGCAGTGCAGCAGTAAAACCTACTAGTTTACTACTACCTAATAGTATAAGGCCAATAATGGTTCTTATTTATACTTCTTTAACTTTTGCCTTTTTTGCATTCTCACCCTTCCACGTTATTTTGAAATGAATAAAAAACGAAATTGTGAAATCGATGACACGAAACAATAGTAACAAATCAAAGGTGCATTGGCCTACAATGATCCGATAACCTTTTCAGGAAGTTCGTGAAACAAAGGGCAGGCGGAGGCGATAGAGTTCGAAGATCGAATGACTTCAAAGCGGGCGTGAGGCTGGGTACACACTGCCGGCAGTGTTTGCGTACGCATCGGCTGCGCCTTGCTGATCAACGGCCTTTACACTAAATGCTTTTTGGTTCACATCGACTTTTCTCAATTGTTTCTCATCGAAAAGTCTTAATCATGAAGAGCTTGTACTGATCATGACCACTAAATTCAACAAAATTAACTAAAGAATTACATACGAATTTAGGTAGGCAATTATGATGCCGTGGAGAATAAATTCTCATACCTACTAGGAAAAAATAAATTCGTGAAAAATGTTTTGTAACCTAAACTTACCTAAATGTATAAGTTGAAATAAAACCATTGGTTAGGTACTGAAACAAATTGCTTTGCCTGAAATAATGCATCAATTGAATTAGATTTTGAACAGCTACCTACTCCAATATCTTGCTTCATGTAGGGCGATTTATCTCTGTCTATGTTATCTAGAATAGATTTTAATTTACGAAATTGCCCTTCTCGGAGGTTATATCGATACATAGGTACGTATTTCAATTCAATCATTTATATTTTTTTCTACTTTTGTATAAATAAAGATAGTATCGACTCATCATCATCCATCATCTAGCTAGCCGCTACCCTTATTAAATCCAACTGTTTGTTGGTGCGTATGAATAACGTATGCTCCTTGTGTCAATCTCATCCTACCCTTATAATGTCATCTGTCCAACTTGCAAAAGAAAGCGCTCATAAAATATTCAAAGCATTGATATTATTCCAAATCTTTTGAATGTAATTGAACTAAACTTGCAAGTAATTATTTGTTGAGATTTAAGACGTATTTTATCACTGATTTGAATAACCTGTTAAACGCTTCATTATCATCATCATTTCAGCCATAGGACGTCCACTGCTGAACATAAGTAGGCCTCCCCCAATGCTTTCCATGTTAATCGATTGGTAGCGGCCTGCGTTCAGCGCTTCCCTGTTACCTTAATCGCTTATTACATAATATAAAATACTTACTAAAAAGTTTAGTCTCCCACTTTGGTTGAAAGCTTGTCCTTAGGTTTTAAGTACGTAGATGTACACGTATTAGATCCACTAATGACTGAGTGCGAGGTTTCCGTAATGTAATGATGGTCGTTAAGTTTTAAAAGCTTTTATGGCGAGTTGACTTACGCCTCAGAAGCTACACCTACGTAAGAGTAGTGTTCGTGTAGCCAGTAATTAAATTCGGGTTCTCGTTTAAAAAAAAGTTTTACTTTTACATTTTATCCGCCATTTGTTGCTGCTGATAAGCTGTAAACTTTCTGTAATCAAAACCCTAACAGACTATACTAAAACATTCTATGAAATAATAAAAATTTCATAGTTCAGAGGTGGAATTGTGTAAAGCAATCGTAATCATTTGACAGTTCATAACGTACGATTATTCTGTCAAACGCTTTGTTTAACTGACTTTATCGTACGTTATGAACTGTCAAATGATTACGATTGCTTTACACAATTCCACCGCAGATTGAAAAAAGTTACTTTACTCGTATTTGAATATTTTATGAAAGAAAAATCTTCCAATCAACTATCATGGTAGAACATTGTAAAACCATGCATTCTCAAAGACTTTACTTTATTCCCCATTATTGCCTAAAAGAGGTGGAGCACATAAAAACACTCCGAGCACCTCAGGCATTCCAAAAATAGCTTATATGAGGAGTAGGCTTTATCAAGATAATCTTTTATGTTTGTTTTCACATAAATGTTTTCAACAGTTTTATTTTATTTTATTTATTTTTATTTTATTGTTAGGAAAACAAACAGCATTCTATAACACATATAGAGTTACCAATTTTAAATTTTAAAGTTATTTGTAATTCAGTATCAAGATCAAGAGCATATCAAGAAATTGTATTGAAGCACATGTTGTCGTATTATCGTAACAGAAAATCGCAATTTTCAGGAGTTTTCATTGTAGGTATAAATAAAGTCTAAAAATTAACAATTTCAGTAAATAAAGATATCTGCACTATGTGTTAATTTAATTTAAAAAGAACATACAAAATGTATGATGAAATCAAAGACAGGTTTATTCACGTCTAGGGACATTACATAGTTCGCTGCCATTCATAGTAGGTTTAATTAGTCACCTAGTTTGATAACTTGTATTGGCTGGACTACCCCGTGTAACGTCACGCTTGTCTAGGCCGCGTCGTATCAGTGACGACACGGGGTAATCGCCCGGGCCCAGTTTATGCCCGTCGGGTCGCGATCGCCACGTTCAACTTTCAACCCTTTTGAAGTTAGAATGTTGTAATGAATAAGATTTCATAATATACTCGTAAAATAACCCACGATTCCATGTTTATGTTTGTGTTCACAACTCTATCTGGCTTTGTCACAATTACATGTGACAACGTCACGATACACGGGGCATGGTGACGACACGGGTTCGACGGCCGGTCAGCTGTTTACGGGCGGGCAGGCGCGTTCGTCACGTTCAACTTTCAGGAAACCTGATTGTTTTTCCGCAAGAAAGTAGTTTAGGAAATTTGCAGGTAAACTTATAAAAAAATCACAATTAATCACCGTGTAAGTGGGTATTTTATGGAACACTAGCGCTTTTAAGCGGTGTAGAGTAAGTTTATAACCCCTCAAAAAGTTATAAGACTCACGGCTGCTGCGTCTAACGAACGAGGTTCTTTTAGTAATAAATACAGTAACAAATTATGTACATTCCCTTACATTGAAGTTCATACTACTTAGTCGTATATTCCTCGAGGCCCCTAGATATGGCGTCCAGTTAACAGTCCCGTGGCGTTCTTCCCTTCTGAGCCATTGCCACCTGCCAGCGTGACGTAAGTCTATAATTACGAATTTGATTAATCTTTTCTGGTAATAGGAATTCAGTGAGTAACATAACTAAATAGGAGTTAACTAGATTTAATTTTCCTGAGTTTTTACTCTTAGTTTATGGCTTTTATATTTTTTCTGAAAAGATTAGCTATGTAACTATACAAAAACAGTCTTTATATTACTCTTATTTTAAAATACTTATTTTGCAGGAAATTTTTCACGAAAACAAAAATGAACTCACGATGAACTTTTTTGCTAGAGTTCAGATAAGGTATTTCCAAGTATAATTAACTATTTGCAAGCATTTGGGAAGAACATCGGGTACGTGACAAAGAGAGTATCGGAGGCATAAAACAGGCTGACGACCTTTTTGTTTACGCGTCGTCGTTTAAAAACTTATAATGACATCGGTGCCAATTACGGGTCTTTTCATATCTGTTTTCGTCTTTTGTTGGCTCATTTTATCGTCACCACGACGCAGATGGAAGATATTAGCCAGTCAGCGCAATAGTTGTAATAGGACCCTTAAGTTTCCAGTGCGAAAGGTTCCTTCCACTTACATTTGTGTATAAACTATTCACTCTTCTGCAACATTCACAAATAGTATAAATTAATCTCTATCTTTGAAAATAATAAGCACATCGATATTTTGTAAACTATAATATTCAAGAATATAATCATAATCATAATCATTTATTTATTGCTTCATAAGTGTACATAGGTGGTGATCTTAAACTTAGTCTCAACTTATGACCCTGTAAGGGTGTCGCAAATCTTGTATCGTAGGTTTCGGATTCGCATTTAGAGTCTTTCATAGATTTTCAATTGCTTTACAAATTTGTAGTTCAATTTATGAGTCTCAAATCCTTTGAAACTGGTAATCGAACCGCATTAATATGGATTCAATTATAAAACACTAGCTTTATCTTGCGAATTCGTTCGCCTAGTTTTGGTTTGAGACATAATAGCAACTACATTTATCATCATACGTTTCAGTGGTTTTTTTTTCTAAAATAACACGAAAAATAATCTCAGTAAAACCATCCTTATTAGTGGAGGACACGTAGGAGTAATAAAAATTTACAAACTGACATAATGATAGTACAGGCGACCTCAACACTAAACATGTGGTAGGTACCTTTTATAGTTACAATAAGTGCGATTTTTCCCGTAACCTGTGTAGACTGTAAAAACACATGTTTGCGTTGCCCTGTCCCTTTATTTGCAAGGGCAGAAAACAGAACATGTTCGAAGTTGTTAGATATTACCTGCCCCGATCTATCCAAACATGTCGGGCAATAATGGGGTCGGTGACCCTTTGTAACATAAGGATATTTAGATATTACGACAAAGGGAAGCAATACTTTTATGGCTCTATTAGGGTGAGACAAATGGAATCACATGAGGATATCGAATACCTATAAATAAGAACATAATGGTCTTCAAATATAAATTTATGATCTTCTTAGTTTGTTATAGTAATAAAATTTGATATTTTTGAATTATCTACAAACTTATAAACTTAACTTATTTTGATTGATTGATGATGATTCTCCTCATTTACACCTTTTTTTAAATTTTTGAGTGGGGGCGAGAAAATTTATTATCGATGAAAATTTCAAAGAAGAATAATTACAAAATACACAATACAGTTTCTCTATAAGAAAAAGAAGCATACATTTCACTGATCAATGAACTTTTCCAGTCAACCAACACAGAATGAGCATCTCTGATTGGAAATACAATTTGAACATAAGCCCTAGATTCGCTGCCGTTTGTCAACAATAATTATGATCTGTGCAATTCAAAGGAAAAAGCGATAGATATTTCAAGTGTTATCTTCAAATGGACGCATTCTTAAAATTGTAGAAATTAAATTTTATTTTCAAAAATTAAATGTGCAATCTCACTTTGCTATTAGACTTAATTAGTTTAAGTGAATACTAAATACATAATGGGAAATGCAATAACCATTATTAACCATCTTACTCATTAGCACTTTTACGATGACTAATGGATCGATCAATTCGATTGATTCTATTCTATTGTGATCCGCTAATCGTTTGCCTCTCGAAGCCCACTCAAGTAGCGTTGTAATCAAACACCATATCCGGGGGATACTTGGCGGGGTGTTGCCGTTGGTATGCCGACTCAGGCTTATATTGAGGAATGTCCAACTGTGGAATTTGCAGGAATTTATTGAATACTATTTGCATTCACATTTTTAGTGAGGGATTCGTCACAAAATATTCGAATCTACCAACGAAATTAAAACGAATAGAAAAGAGAGTTGAAGAATGTAAGTATCGTTAAATGGGAAAATATCGCTAAGAAATTCATTGATATATAATTGTTATCTAAACTGAATGCGACTCTAAAGCGACGAATAAATACTCTTCTTGGCAAGCTTGCACCGTAGATAACATCTTAGCCCGTATAAGTCAAGTAAAAGAAAGTCTATACGACTTAACAACACTTTTAGATCTAAACTCTGACTGTCAAGAGAGCAATTAGTTCCCAACTCCGGATCAGTACGCCCCAGAAGTATATGGATGGATACTTTCCAACCAGTTCCAACTTTATGGAAGTTGGAACTGGGCCTTCCAAGTGACTGGTGCTTCGGGTTCGGGAGGGCGGCCGATGACCGGGCTCATTAAAATTTGGAGTGATTGGGTTCTATCTATTTGTGAGCTTTGAGACGCATCGATGGCTTAAGGTTAAAACGATATTGTGCCTCGTATTCTAGAATATGTAAGTAGAGTTTAAAAACTGTCTTGAGGTTTCCTTCCAATCGTAATGCATTAAAAATAAATAGTCTGATACATCTTCTCGTCCTTCCTAAACATAGTTATTATGTACAATTTTGACGTACATAACGTTCACAGTCCAGCAAAATACTAATAGATATGGCCAATTGGCCAGACTTCTTCGTCGCTTAAGATTAAGGTGTCTGCACAAGTGTCGGTAACAAGAAGGATACTCGTCGAGTAATGCCTTTCTATTACGAATGATCTCATTATGGGCACGAAAGCCTATTTGTAAGAAACTATTTTTGGCTCCAGCAGTCGTATTGGATACACAAGTGGACTAGGAAGCCATGATTTATGGCCTCATGTCGATGGACTCCCGAAGAAAAATGGCTAAGCTGATAAAAAACTACCGAAGGCGTTGAATATGGATTATGATTTATTTTAAGTGTATTTGTCCACAATAAACAAACAAATACGAAGTTGATTTTCTCTTTGTTTTTACATGATGTAAGAAAACTAGATATTTTTACTATTATTTAGATCAGAGTACTATAATGTAAGTACTTATTTTAAAAATCAATGCAATTGAAGATATTTATTTTACTGACATTAACGCTCATTGCACAAAATTAAATAATTATCGTATTGAATAGGTAAAATGTAGGTATCAAGTATTGTTGTGGAATTTTAACTGCAACTAAAATGACATTATTTTACAACAGCATCGGATAAACTTAAAAAAAAAAAAACAATTAAATGGTGCTTTTAGATTGTGGTACTTTCTATGAAAAATGTTCACATTCTTATTTTATCGTTACGACCGGTGCGTATTTTCCGCCGTAAAAACGATGTTAAAACATCTTTGCTGCTGTAATGGACAATGTTAGCGAATGTAATTGAACCCCAGCCGAAAATATTTCACAAATATTTTTACGACACCTACCGATCAAAGTGTTGTGTGTGACAAAATAACTTCCCTGTCGGTCGTTGACCTGATATTTTAGTGCGATATTTATCACCCGGTGTCTTAAACTGTAAATGAAAGTATTTTTGGCCAACGATGTCACATAAAAGGTGCCGAGAGTGTAGAATTACACATTTTGTATTACGACTTACGAGTATTATTCGCCTATAATGTTTAGGTACTATACCTAAGTAGTTCAATATCTAAGGCAACGTGGTACGTTATTTGTACCTACGTCTTATTGAAGAAACAATATAATTAAGTATTTGGGGTGATTTGTTAGAGTCAATTGCTCCCAAAAATGGGTAAACGGCGAGTCCCACATTGCAAATGAGGCAGCCCCCGGACAAAGCGGACAAACACGGGCGCTAACGAAGGACGATGCCATCTGAAGCCAATAAGTCAACGCACCTTAATGAACATGGTGGTACGTTATACTTTAAAGCGATTGGAAAATATCAGATTCTAAATAATCAACAACGTAGGCGGCAAAATATCTTAAATTGAATCACAAGACAAACTGAGTCCTTGATACTTATTATTTAGAATACTTCCGGGCTAATGAAAGCGACCTGGTCTTCATTATTCATGGAACATTACAGAAAATAAACTGTCTGGTTGAGTTTTTAGTTACTGAAAGAATAATCTAAGGTAAAATTATCGTTTAGCTACAGGACGTCCACTGTTGAATATAGGTGTCCCTCAATGATTTCCAGATAGGCTGGTCGGCCTGCATCCAGCGCCTTCCTGCAACCTTTATGAGGTCATTTTGTCCACCTTGTGGGTGGACGTCATGCGCTACGCTTGTCAGTACGTGGTAAGGTAAAATTAAGATTTCTAAACTTACATCTGTCAATATTACCGACAACATAAACGATTACTTCATGTGTTATATTTTACGATAAAAGTCAAAATTAAAAAAATAATACAAGTTACTAATATGTCTTAATAAATTTCTCCAATATCCTACATGTTTTAAAATTCAAAATTTAATCGCTACATCGAAAAAAGGATATTGCTAGGGGCGAATGTCTCGAACTGAATTAATTGAACAAAAACAGAGTGGATAAGGTTCATTGAATATAAAAGCGATAAACTACGGAAAACGTTAATTAAATCTTACAAATTGATCGAAGCTTTCAAAGAAAGCATTTTTTTATTTAATGTATAATAACCGCCAATCTATAAAGGTTGCACGAACACTTATTAGTTTAGTAAATAAATTAAAATTATTATTATAACATTACATTTCAGTTTAAAAAGGTTTTTGAAGTTTTATTTAAAATCAGTTTGTGAAATAATGTGGGTCAACTAACCTCGTGAAATGAATTTGTAGAGCTTAAGTATACCGGAAGTAGTGCCTGTACTAGGCATCGATAGGATAATAATAATTTATTGTCTTTTCTGTGTTTTTTGGTTGTTAAAAAGATGTAATACAATTGTTGGGTAAAGAAAGACCATCTTTTGCGTAAGAACTTTTGGTTTTGGTTATGTTTTGGCTAATCAAGGTACAATCCACTCAAACGGACTAAATTTTTTAATGATGACAAAAAGTTGTCCTCTAATGACATAATTAGATCCTGTGCAATCAGCTGAGAGAGAGGAACGAACTCCACGTTCTAGAAACGGCTGGAGGGATGACCCTCTTATAGTCAATGATTGTAATTTTTTCTGTGGGCTGTAATTAGAAATTAGGCGGTTTGATGCATTGAAAATGGCCAGTGACTATTTATGGCAGTATTTAGTAGTGCAATTACTTCCTGTTATTTAGAAATCTTGTACCTACTTACCCTTTTCTCCGTAGTTTGATATTACATTTCTTGTGTTGAATCTGACTTAAACCTGTGTGTGTATTTAATTATAATACAGAGTTAAGTTGTATCATTAGTACATTGGAAAACGTAATTTACATAATAATTTATCTATTATTAAAGGGTCATTCATCTTGAGAATTTCTTAGTTGATTTGACTAAAGAAAGCAGTTGAGTTATGGGATTTTAGGACGAACACATTAGAAGGAATAATTCAAACTTGAACCATATCCATAAATATTTTCTTTTGTCTAAAGATAACAAGCATTACATTATTTAAACACGTAAGTATAAATTTCACGCATCAGTAAGAAATTCTTGAAATAAATGTAAATGATATGTGTTTGGTTGTCATTAGTACGAGCCGAAAACGTTGTATCTAGTGCTCTTGTGTAACATGAGTGTCATTTAAAAACGTATTGAGTCTACTAAATGAACGATCGATAGGACTAACGATATAACTAAACTTGTTAACATAATTAAACGAAACTGAACAAGCATAATATTATGTAAAAATTCACTGAGCTCCGAAGGTAATGTTGTGTTGAGTGTCATTGTCAGTTAGACGGTTTAATAAGATTCTTGATAAAACTTAAATAGAATTCAAATAAGTAATTTGTATGTTTATAGTTTTAAGAAGAACATTTAACCAAGTAGGTACTATGACTGTTCTGCATTGAATGTATTAACATAAAAAGGAAATATTTAGAATTTGTTGTAGTCTGTCTATTGTGAACAAGAATTTCTGATGGACGCTGAATATAAGGATATTAGCAGAAGTAATGAAGTCTCATGGAAACATTGTTTTAGACAGGTAGGTACTTTCAGAAATTAATACAGTTATTTTTCGCTCAGATAAATGTTTGCCTGCCATGTTAGTATATTAGTTCTTATTTATATTTATTTTGGTCATAATATCTTTTCAGTTCCTTGTGAACAGCATAGCGTTAATGTTCTACTTCATGTTCGGGCTGTCTCTGGGCGCCCCGACAGTCCTCTTGCCGCAGCTGAGGAAGGAAGCGAACTCTACAGAAGCCGTCAGCGAGGACATGGCGTCATGGATCGGTAAAATAATTTATTAACTTTATGTTCATAACTCTCTCTAAAGGATTTTAATAAATTAATATCATGATGAAATATTTCGTGCCTTGAAACTGAATTTTGTTTCACGATGTGTGTTTGTTATATCTATCCGTGAGAGATCAAGAAGTTTCCAATTAGGTACTATCAACTCGTATTTTGACTCGCTCTATTATACTATTGTCCTTGAATTGATTAGCTTTAGGTTTTTTAAATACATAATATGAAAAATATCAGTTACTTAGAGCTCATAATTTACTTATTTCAGCGTCCATTGGCGGATACATGGGAGTGCCATGGAGTGTGGCTTTACCAATCATCATGTACTATTTTGGCAGAAGGAAGAGCTGCGTTTTCGTCGTTCTTAACACTTTCACTGCATTTATTGTGCTCTACTGCAGTACCGATGCCACTCAGATATTAATCAGTCAAGTTCTGCAAGGAGTTAACGCTGCCTCACAGACCAGTCTCACCGTCATTATAATGACTGAGTACACTTCACCCGAGTATAGAGGAATATTTTGTGCATCAAAAAGTGTGATGATGTTTTTAGGGGTGTGGATAGCAAATGCAATAGGAATGTTCTTTCACTGGCGTAACATTGCAATTTTAGGAATCTCATGTTCAGTTTACAATTTTGTGGCTATAATGATTATGCCCGAATCTCCCTATTGGTTAGTGAGTAAAGAAAGACTTACAGAATGTGTATCATCACATCGCTGGCTTAAAGGTTTTAATGAGAAATCAGATACTGAACTTAATGAGATTTTGGATGATTTCAATGCAAGTAATCATGACAAATACAAAAGTATACCAATTCGATTAAAAAAATGTTACATATCATTATTGCAAGAAGAGGTTTACAAAGCTCTTTTAATAACTTTATTGGTGATAGGCTCGTATTATATGTGTGGAAAAATAGTTTGTGCTGTTTACGCAATAGAAATATTACACAAGATTACGAACAATGAGTCATCGGCATACTATGGCATGTTAATAATAGATGCTATTACAATATGTGGTATGATGGTAGGTAGTGTTATGTCTAAATTTATTAAGCAAAAAGTTCTATATCTGTCATCTTTCGCTGCGGGCACATGTTCGTTGTATATTATTTGTTTGTATTTGTTTCTAGTGAACTCTTCTTTAATCTCTGAAAATATTTATGTATCTTTGGGTTTATTAATAACATTTTCGCTAACAATAAGTTGTGCAGTTGTTATGGGTCTCTCAATATTTGGGGAGACATTACCACTTAAATCTAGAGGAGTGAGTATTTGTATTGTTTCTGTGTTTGCGAAATTGGGATTAGGAACTGTTCTTAAAATCTCGCCGTATCTCTTCAAAAAAATAGGTAATCATGGAGTTTTTTTGTGTAATGCTATTGGTAGTACAATATTAATAATTTTAATGCTTAAATATTTACCAGAAACTAAAAACAAGACATTGCACGAGATTGCAAATAGTTTTAAATCTAAGGACATAGGCAAGAAATCTGAGAACAGTCAGTTGGTTCGTAAACAAGAAACAGATTAAGTTTTACAATGTTATGTTTAATTCACAGCATTAGCAGCATTTAGCATGCACATGGCATGTGATTCTGTCACCTTTATGACCTCTCTAGTATCTTGCAACAAAATATCGCGCTCCGCGATCCGCCATGCAGTAATATTGAAGGAGAGAATGAAAATTAAGTCATTACGTACTCGGCAGATTGTTTACTTCGGTAGGTGCGATTGAACCCAGGACACCTTTTATATGGTAAATTCAAAGAATGTTAACCATGTAAGATTGAATTTCATGCATCAAAATGAAAGCCTTAAATAAATGTAAATTGAATTGTGAATTTAGTTTTAATTTTCTACTGGTCGAAAACGTTGTGGTACTGGAGTTTAAAATGTGTTGCAAAAGGAACAAAAAAGTATTGAGATAAAGTTGATAATTTTACAGTTAATATAAGACACTTAAAAAAAACCTTTTGTGGATTCATGGAGAAACGAAAAGAACTACGAGTATACTAAAAATGCGTCAATTTGAAGGATAAAGACAATATTCTTGATAAAATTTAAATATAGGTAGTTTCAAATTAGTAATTCGTATGTTTTAGACAAGTAGGTGCCAATAAGATAAAGTCTATTAATGTATTTAGAGTGCTTGGACTAACAAAGAATTGTACTTCTATTCGACGCAGTTTGCCTAAACACATTTTCAATGGAAGCTGAGTATAAGGGTCTTAGCACAAATGATGGAGTTTCATGGACACATTTCTTAAGACAGGTAAAATTTTAAACATTTTTATTCCATAAGCTTTTTCATGATATTATTATGCTTGTGAGTTTAGTTTTGTTGGTTTTGTATTTTTTCTGTATGTACCAAATTAATTCGGCTAAGAAGTTAAAGCCATGCTTGATAATCAAATTCCGAAGCTGAGAGAAGAATTCAACATTATTGTAAAAATATTTTATTTTTGTGAATTATTTTCTCTCTTCTTTTTATGTATTTCATTGCTTTTGTCTTTTCAGTTCCTTGTGAATAGCATAGCGTTAGTGTTCTACTTCATGTTCGGGCTGTCTCTGGGCGCCCCCACAGTCTTCTTGCCGCAGCTGAGGAAGGAAGCGAACTCTACAGAAGCCGTCAGCGAGGACATGGCATCATGGATCGGTAAAATCATTTATTAACTTGTCTTTATGTTCATAACTCTCTTCAAAGGAATTTAAGAAATTAATCATCATCATCATCATCAACAGCCCTTTACAGTCCACTGCTGGACTATGAGCCTCCTCCACTATAGTGGAGGGTTTTGCCATAATCTCCACGCTAGGCAGGCGGGTTGGAGATCGCAGTTTAGAAGATTGATGTTTTTCAGAGAGCGCTGCTGCCCATTCTCTGTTTGATGTGTAGTCCCTAAGTCGCCTCTTACGACACCCGCGGGAAGAGTAGGGGTTGGTGACAAATGTATTCTACTCTGCCGTCACCACACGGCTTAAGAAATTAATATCACGATGAAATATTTTTTGCCTTGAAACTGAATTTTGTTTCACGATGCGTGTTTGTTATATCTATCAACTCGTATTTTGACTCGTTCTAATTACTATTGTCCTTGAATTGATTAGCTTTAGGTTTTTTAAATACATAATATAAAAAATATCAGTTACTTAGAGCTCATAATTTACTTATTTCAGCATCCATTGCCGGATATATGGGAGTGCCATGGAGTGTGGCTTTACCAATCATCATGTACTATTTTGGCAGAAGGAAGAGCTGCGTTTTCGTCGTTCTTAACACTTTCACTGCATTTATTGTGCTCTACTGCAGTACCGATGCCACTCAGATATTAATCAGTCAAGTTCTGCAAGGAGTTAACGCTGCCTCACAAACCAGTCTCACCGTTATTATAATGACTGAGTACACTTCACCCGAGTATAGAGGAATATTTTGTACGACAAAAAGTGTGATGATGTATTTAGGGGTGTGGGTAGCAAATGCAATAGGGATGTTTTTTCATTGGAGTAACATCGCAGTTTTGGGAATCGCATGTTCAGTTTACAATTTTGTTGCTATACTGATAATGCCCGAATCCCCGTATTGGTTAGTCAGTCAAGAAAAAATTACAGAATGTGTATCGTCCCATCGCTGGTTAAAAGGTTTTAATAAGAAATCAGACACTGAACTAAATGATATTTTGAATAATAACACAAACAAATCTACTAGGAAATACAAAAGTATATCTTCTCTGCTAAAGAATTGTTACGTATCTTTATTGCAAGAAGAGGTATATAAAGCTCTTTTAATATCTTTATTAGTAGTAGGCTCTTGTTTTATGAGTGGAAAAATGGTTTGTGCTGTTTATGCAATAGAAATACTACACAAGATAACAAAAAATGAATCTACGGCATATTATGGTATGTTAATAATAGATGCTATTACAATATGTGGTATGATGGTAGGTAGTGTTATGTCTAAATATATTAAGCAAAAAGTTTTATTGCTATGGTCTTTGACTTCAGGAACGTCTTCTTTGTATATTATTTGTTTGTATTTATTTTTAGTAAACTCTTCTTTTATCTTTGAGAATACTTATGTTTCATTAGGTTTGTTAATAATATTTTCATTGACTATAAGTTGTGGGGCAGTTATGGCTTTATCAATATTTGGAGAGACATTACCTCTTAAATGTAGAGGAGTGAGTGTGTGTATTGTTTCTATGTTCGCGAAAACGGGATTAGGAACTGTTCTCAAAATTTCACCAATACTTTTTAAACATTTCGGTAATCATGGGTGTTTTTTGTGTTATGCGATTGTTAGCACAGTATTGATAATTTTAATGCTTAAATTTTTACCAGAAACTAAAAACAAGACATTGCATGAGATTGCAAATAGTTTTAAAACTAAGGACATAGGAAAGAAATCGGAGAGCAGCCAGTTACAACAAGGATGAATACTGAAATCAATCAGTTGGTACACAGAGACAAAATATAGGAGAATGCATTTATTTGGGGTACAATAAAAGGGTCTTTGGGTATCAAATCAAATCAAATAGTTTCTTCAGTACATAGTGCTCTTTCTAGGGCGCTTATATAACTTTGTTATACATATATTGTTTGGATTACTACAATACAAATAAACTATGTACTCATAGGTAACACACCTGCAACCTAGATCCGGCCGAAATTTAATACTGATTATATTAAATTAATTGTCTATTACTCAATTTGTTTACCTTGATCTCCTTATATTTACCAATTTGATGACCAGGTGTATCAGTCTGTAATATCTCTGGGGTCAGTCTATCAGACAGGGAGTAAAATATTAGTATTTGAGAAGTAAAAAATAGTTACCAGTATTTTACATGGCTGTAACTCGCCTTAAATAAATAAATTAAAAAAATGTACTCAACAGGCATGAAATTAACTTAAGTACTCGTAGGTATGTCTTTATTTACGTGGACTTGTTTAATTAGTAGGTACTTACAAACCGTCAATTTTTTTCTCATAACAATCTAATATTGATAATGTCGCCATTTTTTTTGTCGCCCCAAAGTGCCCGACGAGAAAGGAATCACTACATATACATATACAATAGTATAAAATAAAGTCGCTTCGCTAATATATGCTTAAATCTTTAAAACTACGCAATGGATTTTAATGCGTTTTTTTAGTAGATAGAGTGATTGAAGAAGAAAGTTTTTAGGTAGGTATAATACATGTACCTGTGCGAAGCAGGGGTAGATTGCTAGTCAAATATACATTGTTATACAGTTTTCATTTATAAATACACGATGTTACTTTGCATTCTTGCCATATTTACAGAAATAACTTACTGACACTTAACACAAATCAGTAAAAAAAGAATGTCCTAAAATTTTGTTTTTTAATCTTGAGTATTTTATTTTATCAACAATCTGAAACACACCACTAATTATTGCAACGCATGCACATTACTTGTTGGAGATGGCGACGTAGACTCTTTTCACTTTTTATTATTGTATTTTTTAAATCTAAATGTTTTACAATGTCTCTTACTACTAAAAGTACTTAACACTAGAAAGGCCGCCGTCCCATTTTTGTCCCACTCGCGAGTTTGATCAGCTCTAACTTTTTTATTTTTCAACGAAAGTCCATGAAACTTTTTGACTTTTTCTGATTTATTGAATTTCATCATTTTTTAATGTTTTTGATAATATAACATAGATAGAAAAATTTTTAAAATCGGTTTTACCTAGAAGCGCCACTGGGTCAATTTTGTCCCACCCTGGTATTTGCCACAATAATTCGATGAAGAGTCCTTTTTTTCGAGGAGATACGAAAGTGGAGAGGTGAGGAGAGTTTTGGTGGCTCGTGGCAATGCAGAAATTTAAATATATTGTACTAGTTTTTGCCTGTGACTTCACCCGTGAGAAATTAAATTTATCATAGAAAGACCTAATTTCTTGACACTTGTCGTTGCTTTTTGACCAAATAACTGAATATTATTCTAAATTGTAGCCTATATTATGTTATTCTGAAGTATTAACAATAAAAATGCAAAGTTTTATTAAGATCGGCTTAGTATTTTTTGCGTAAAAGAGTGAAAAAACATCCATAGATCTAACCATGAATCCATACTCACTTAGTTCAAGTTCCAGGCATATATCCACCTATTCATCCATCCTATCCATTCATCAGTCCATCCATCCTTCAATTCATCAATATTTATTAACTTTTATATTTATAATATTAGTAGGAAGATGGCCTCTAGACATAAGCCAGTTCATACATTGTATGATTTGATACATTTTTAAAATGTGTGACTTATAAAATTTTGAAGATTAAACGTACATACTTTTTATTGTAATTGGTCAAAAACTTCATTGTTTGTGTACAGATAACAGAAAAATAACCATACTTATAGAAATTCCTAAACACATAGTACACCAGATAGACAAAAAACCATACAAAAAAACTTTGTGCAAAATGTGCACTATTATTTTTAAGATATTTATTTTTTCTTTAAAAATAATAATGACTAGTTAAAGTAGTAATTTCATGATTTTAATACAGTATACCACCACGTAATATGTGACTATTTTTAAATGAAACCAAAAATATCTAAATTTTAATAATTCTAAATTAAAATTGAATACATTTATATTTTTAAAGAAATAAGTACATATTGTTTTAACTACATAGATAAACCTTTTTTTAAGGATACTACAAATAGTTTTAACCATAATATTCATGCCTGAAACTAAAAAATGTTACAAAATACATGCTGGGACAAAATTGACCCAGCGGCGCTTTTAGGGGGGTCGTAATCTTCGGCACTTCTAGTGTTAAATCGTTCTGTCGCGGGAAAAAAACAAAAAAAAAAACATGTCACAGTGTATGCATACTAGCGGCCCGCCCCGGCTTTGCACGGGTAGATATAATAGATATTTGAAAATAATAAATTAAATCTCTCGTATACTTACAATGTCACCGGAAAATAGCAAGAACTGCAAATTTATAAACCTAATTTTATCCATTTCTCACCCTTATGTTACGACGATACCATAACGAATTTAAAAGGAGATTGTGTCATAGTGTACAAAAGTTTTTTGTTATATAGTTATCTTAATTAAGAATTTAATCAATTAGAAGAAAAAAAAGCGCTTGCATTTGACGTTCTCATCGACGATTCAACGCGATAAAAACAATCGAGTTCAGGCGTCTCCTCTAGTACGTAGTATAACGATGGACGCAAAATACACACTTATTGGGAAACAGAATTATAGATTACCTGTTTTAGGACGACAGGTGAGCTAGACTTATTTGATTTATTTGCCGTATCGTATGAATAGGTTTCAGTTTCTTTACCAAAAACAGAAGCTAAATGAAACATGTTATTTTTAATTGACAACTTACTGTTCAGAATCTAAGTACCTACAGGTATCGTGAAAATTTTGAAGAGATTTATGAAAGTTAAGGCAATCTATTGTTTTAAAAATGACCTTAGATACTGTTTTTTTATTATTATTACGTTAATTTCTGAGATTGTAATTTACAGTTAAGTTTCACGTTTTTTTTTAAAATAAATATTAAATTATACTAAAACATCAAAAACGCAAAATATTTTGTAGATTTCTGGTAGATTTTTGGACCATTGATAGTAAAAAAAAGTGTTTTCGCAAACTGCTTTTGACGTGACATTATTATACGATTTTATAACTGTCAATACGTTTTTAGTTGCTAGTGTGTCTGTCAGCATGCGTGTATTCCTTCATGCTGGGACTGAGCTTCGGGAGTCCCACGGTGGCCGTGGCCCAGCTGAGGGCAAGGGCGAACTCAACCGACGCAGTCAGCAGGGAAATGGGCTCTTGGATAGGCAAGTGTACATTCAACCTCTCCTTTTATTCGTTTTTGTGATACAAATCCATGCAGTTCCTTTTAAAAACATAACTTATCAGATTAAAAATTATTACATCTTTAAAATAAGGTACTTTAGCATATTTGGAACAATAAAATAAAAAAAAACGAGATTTCATGAACTCGAAAAAATACGAAAAATTGAATTCAAAAATAGTTTTCATTCAAGCAGGGGCGCTACCCACCTTTCTATACTTTTTTGTTGATGTGTATCTATGTATAAGTTAGAACAGTATTACCTACCTACTCAATACTATGTTTATCTTTGATTGTTTTGTTTTGTTTTCCAGCATCTGCATCCGGCTTTGTCGCAATCCCTACAGTAGTCGTCTCGGTCATCGTTGTACATCACTTCGGGCGCAAAAAAGTTTATAACTACGCGACTGTAGTTAGTTTCGTGTGCTTTACAATACTCTATTGTAGTAAAAATGCTACGGATCTTCTTGTAAGCAGGTTATTCTGCGGAGTTCAAAGTGGCTTGTTGTTGTCAACGTTCCTAATGGTCATGACTGAGAGCATGAAGCCAAGATATAGGGGTTTATTTTTTGCTTTGAAATCAGCTTCAATTTATTGGGGTGTCTGGTGTTCCAATACGATAGGAACATTCTGTCCTTACAATTACATTGGAATAGTTGGGATGTCATGTTCAGTAATTAACTTTTTCATAACATTTGTCATACCAGAAACTCCATTCTGGCTTGCATCAAGAGGCAGATATGAAGAATGCGCAGCAGCACACCGATGGTTGAAGGGGGCCGACGAGGATACCGAGAAAGAGTTGAAAGCGATTTTTGATAGTTTCCAAAAAGATGGAAAAGTGCCAATACAAACACGCAAATCTCTGTTAACTACAGTTAAAGAATATTGGACGATAATATGTCAACCATCATTTTATAAACCTGTCTCTATAGGATTCATAATTGAAATGATGTGTGTAGCTACAGGAAAATTGGTTTTTGCTATGTATGCAATTGAAATAATAGGAAAAGTTACAAAAAATAAAACTACAGCTCACTATTTTATGTTGATACTGGATGGATTTAGTGTGTTAGGTATGTATATGGGCTGTGTCTTAGCAAAACGCTTAAAAAGAAGAACTATGTTGTTATGTTCATCAACATTATCCGCAATACTAATGTTTGCGGTGTCATTTTATTTGTATTTGGTTAAATTCAAAATAATGTCTGAAAATAACATATTATTTTTAAGTATATTGGTTTTATATTCGTTAATTACATGTTGTGGCCCCATGCTTTTGTTTAGCGTTATTTGTGGCGAATTGTTTCCATTAAAAGGTAGAAGTTTTGGAGTGATATTATCAGGTGTGATTAATAGTGCACTTTTTGGACTAAGTATGAAATTTACACCGTATTTACTTTGGGCTATCAATACTGAAAATACTTTTCTATTTTTTGCAATTTTTTCTACCACATGCATTATTTTAGAATATAAGTATCTACCAGAAACTAAAGATAAAACATTAAATGAAATTGCGGCCCTATTTCAATAAACACAACTCTATTAAATGTTACATCGATAACTAAATCATGTGTTGGCAACATTAATCAAAAGCTTTTTTTTACTACTAGCAACTAGTCTACTAGTACTAAGAGAGATAGAAAGATTCGTCTTGTCATTGTGCTACTAACGTAAGTGATATTTATTTAAAGTCGTCAATAAATTGTGTAATTTACCAGCGCCTGTAAATTAATGCAATGGAACGACAGGGAAAGATTGGAGGAACAGGAGAATTACCAAGAAAACTAAAGTCAGATTGATGAAATGCCTTGTGTTTCCAATCTTTAGAAATATGGAGCCGAAACTTGTTCTCTGAGACTGCAGGATAGACGCTATCATAAAGGCTACTGAGTCCACGATGATCCAGTGTATTCGCAACGCCTCTAACCGCCAGAAATGGCAGGAGAGCTGACTTCGAAAATGACATCGAACACCCCAACGTGTGCCTCGTCAATGCAACCATGACCAATCTGACAAGAGTGTCCGACTAAGAAGAAGATAATTTCATGATAAAGTCATCCTGCTTTTCACATAATATTATGACTGAATTAATTTTTTATGCAAAAAAAAACTTGGATTCAAAAAAAAATATTGTTTCTTTTCTGATTTACTACAGAGATGCGTATGAATCGTAAGAGTAGTTTAAGTATACGTTTTGACTGCGATTCTTAATGCCGAAAATCGGAACCACGAACTCTATTATATTATTTACCTGAATTCCGAATGCACGGAATCCGGATAACTCTAGCCCCAATGCATGCTATCTCGAATCACCGTACTTTTAGTTATTCACGAGTTTATTTAGTTACTGTGCTCTACATAAAAACCGAGGGATCTTCCAATTTGTGGCAGTTATCTGTGCTGGCAATTAAATACCATTTTTGTGCACATTATATCAGAATTTGGAGTAGGTACCTACTAGTAGGTAACAACTTCTCAACAGTAGGTACGTTAATAATTTGACATGTAATGAACATTATGAATAAATTTCTTATTCTTATTCTTAATAAGAATTAAATCATACAGGGGCATTCACAGTACAATCTGTTTTGTAGTACTACATTAACGTTGCTTTTTATTTTAAATTATTCTTTTCCGTGACAAAATTTTTGCACATAAATTAATCTTATCACAGAGGTCTATTTGTCACCCATATGTGTAACAATACCATAACGAATTTATAAGGAAATTGTCTCCTAGCGTGCAAAAGTATTTTATTAAATAGTTTTCCTTTTAACAAAAAAGATTACGCGAGCACTTGATGTTCTCATACTAAGTTGAGTTGGACACTTGGAGTGCGCGTGATCCAACGCGATAAAAAAGGATAAAAATAATCGAGTTGACTCCTTTAGTACGTAGTATAACAATGGACACAAAATACACACTTATCGGGGAACAGAATTATAAATTACCTGTTTTAGGACGACAGGTAAGTTAGCCCACTTGATTTATTTGCCGTATTGCATGTATAGGTTTCAGTTTATTGACATTATTACACGATTTTATAAACTGTTAATATGTTTTTAGTTGCTAGTGTGCCTGTCGGCATGCGTGTACTCCTTCATGCTGGGGCTGAGCTTCGGGAGTCCCACGGTGGCCGTGGCCCAGCTGAGGGCAAGGGCGAACTCAACCGCCGCAGTCAGCAGGGAAATGGGCTCTTGGATAGGCAAGTGTTCATTCAACCTCTCCTTTTATCCGTTTTTGTGATAGAAATCCATGCAGTTCCTTTTTTTTAAATATAACTTTAAATCAGATTTAATATAATTTATGTATACTTTTAAAATAAGGTCAATTAAGTATAAGTAACGTAAAGGTAGCAGGGAGGCGCTGGACGCAGGCCGCTCAACCAATCGATTAATGTGGAAAGCATTAGGGGAGGCCTATGTTCAGCAGTGGACGTCCTATGGCTGAAATGATGATAATAATGATGATGATGAAGTATAAGTAGTTGGAATATTAAAATTAAAAAAAAAAACGAGTTTTTATGAGTTCGAAAAAATATGACAAATTGAATTTAAAAATAGTTTTCATTCAAGAGGGGGGCGATACCCTTCTTTCTATAGGTACTTTATTGTCGATGTGTATATGCATAAGTTAGAATAATCACCAATATGTGTTAATCTTTGATTGTTTTATGTAAATGTATTATTTTGTTTTCCAGCATCTGCAACCGGCTTTGTCGCAATCCCGACGGTGGTCATCTCGGTCATCGTTGTACATCACTTCGGGCGCAAAAAAGTATTTAACTACGCGACTGTAGTTAGTTTCGTCTCCTTTACAATATTTTATTGTAGCAAAAATGCTACGCATATTCTTGTAAGCAGATTATTTTGTGGAGTTCTAGCTGGCTTGTTGATGTCAATGGTCCTAATGGTCATGACTGAGAGCATGACGCCAAGATATAGGGGTTTATTTTTTGCTTTCAAATCAGCTTCTGTGAATTGGGGTATCTGGTGTTCCAATACGATAGGAACATTCTGTCCTTACAATTACATTGGCATAGTTGGGATATCATGTTCAATAATTAATTTTTTAATAACATTTGTCATGCCAGAAACTCCATTCTGGCTTGCATCAAGGGGCAGATATGAAGAATGCGCAGCAGCACACCGATGGTTGAAAGGGGCCGACGAGGATGCCGAGAAGGAGTTGAAAGCGATTATTGAAAGTTCCCAAAAAGATGCCAAAGAGTCAACACAAACACGCAAATCTCTGTTAACTACAGTTAAAGAATATTGGACGATAATAGTATATCAACCATCGTTTTACAAACCTGTCTCTATAGGATTCATAATTCAAATTATGCATGTAGCTTCGGGAAAAATGGTTCTTACTATGTATGCAATTGAAATATTAGGAAAAGTTACAAAAAATAAAACTACAGCTCACTATTTTATGTTGATATTGGATGGATTTAGTGTGTTAGGCATGTATATGGGCTGTTTTTTAGCAAAACGCTTAAAACGAAGAACTATGTTCTTATGTTCATCCACATTATCCGCAATACTGATGTTTGCGGTGTCATTTTATTTGTATTTGATTAAATTCAAAATACTGTCTGAAAATAATATAATTTTTTTAAGCATTTTGGTTTTATATTCGTTAGTTACATGTTGTGGCCCCATTCTTTTGTTTAGCGTTATTTGTAGCGAATTGTTTCCATTAAAAGGTAGAAGTTTTGGAGTGATATTATCAGGTGTGAATAATAGTGCACTTTTTGCATTAAGTGTAAAATTTACACCGTATTTACTTTGGGCTATTGATACTGAAAATACTTTTCTATTTTATGCAATTTTTTCTATCACATGCATTTTTTTAGCATATAAATATCTGCCAGAAACTAAAGATAAAACATTAAATGAAATTGCGGCCCTATTTCAATAAACACTGCCACTGTTTTGAATGTTACACCGATAAATAAACTTTAGGAATTTTTTGACTGAATATACTTATTTATGCAAAAAACATTATGCTTTGATTTAAATCAATTCTTTCATTAACAAAAAATCATATTTGGCAAAACCTTGTATGATCTTAGGGCAAATGATTACCACTAGTGATACGGTTAGTTTGGACCACTACCGGTAGCGTTTTACTGAATATTTTTNTTTTTTATCCACAACGAGGAAGCTCTTGGCCTGTATCTCACCTGAATGAATGAATGAATGAATGAAGCTTCATTCATTTCTTCTTACTTATTTAATTTCACCTGTAGGTTCATTTTTAAAGAACTGTTGTCCTAATATTGGCACATAAGGAACTTAAGTACCTAAGGAATACTTAAGTAAAGTGACATGTTTTTAAAGAAACTGCCTCTTGTATTACTCGTAGTTATGTTATGTAATTTAGCAACACTGTTTCTATGAGGAATTTGCACAAATGGGTTTGTGCATCAGATCGGCCTTTAAAACTACCTTTAAAATTAAAAAAAATTAAAGAACCTACGGTTTGGCAAGCGCACAGACGATATTGGGACTAAACATTCCAAAAACTCGTTATTCGTCGTGATTATCTCCCGCATTTGGTCAAATCACTTGTGTTTTCAAAACAGTAGTCATCAGTCGGTTACCTTGAGTGGAAGCGGTAACATAAAACAATCATTGATATGGAGAACAGAAGTAACAACGAAAATGCCTCAGACAAAGTGACGTGGATTCAGTTTTTGAGACAGGTGTGTTGTAGAGCGATGGAAAGATGTTGAGTGATAAAGTGTTAGTGGCATTTTGCTTTATGAGAATAATTGATCCCACCAAAAACATTCTGTGAAAAACTAGCCAAGTCTCGATGGAGCTGCTTGTTTATCTCTAAAAAGTAATGAAATCTAGACAAAGTCGTGCCAAGTCTATGGTTCCTTACTGCGATTTCTTTATTATTATAGTTAATGTTGTGTGACTTGGCCGTTGAAATAACCTAAGCGAACCTTACAGTATAATAAACGAAATCAACGAAATGCAAATTACACAACATTCAACTTAATCGACGACTTTCTCTAGAAAGGAAAAAAATCTGGACACCGCTTGCTAGTGCTAGCGCCATCTAGCGGTGAGCGATACAGGCGAACACCACGGGACCGGAGTAGTATTGATTATGAATGTGGTTACTCCAGATCTTCGATTTTCCTAGTTTTTATAGTTTTCCCTTTATGTGGCCATTAAACCCTAACTCTGTACCAAATTTCAGCCGTCTGAGTTAATGGGAAGTACTAGTTCTATTTTGATGATCATCAGTGAGTGAGTGAGTGTCGTAAATGCGAAACTTTGCTTTCGCTTAACTTCGGAACTAAATGACCTACAGACTTGAAATTTTGGATTTAAAGTATGTGATTATAGCTTACTAGATGACGAAAATTTCTGCGTTCTGGTCTTATCCAGAGGTTCTCAAATAGGGGCCTGAAAATGCGGCGAAATGGTTCCAGTAAAGGATGGTACGGCAGTGTTTGCTTCGCGCTCGACTTGGCGGGGGCACTGCCGTGCCCCCAGATTTGTTTTAAAATATTACTAAAATAAGACTAAAATAGCTACTATATTATGTCTATGTGGTGCAAAAATTTCAATAGTTAATTATTTTTTAGGTGAATGTAAGTTTGACAATATGGTGTTATTTCTTTATCGTCGGGCTTGTTACTGGAGCACCCACCGTAATCATTCCTCAATTGATAAAGGAAACCAACACAACGGTGGTTTTAGAGGATAAATTTTATCCGTGGATAAGTAAGTTTATTTTGTTAACCAGTTTTAAAAGCATTTTCGATTGAATAACAATCAAAGTTCCTTTGTAAATAGCGCACTTATACATACATTATACGTTTTGATTTAGATCATTTTAATTCGGATTTAATACATAATTTTATGAAGCATCATATTAGGTAGACAAATATTCAAAGCCTGTAGATTTGATAGTTTAAAAAGTAATCTACATTGTCATAATAAATAATTTGCTTTGATTGTTACCGATTTAGTTACTCCATTGTTGCAGCATCCATTGGCAGCTACACAAGTATACCGTGCAACCTAATTTTGACTCTCCTTTCTCATTTTTGTGGACGAAAGAAGACCTTGCTAGCCATCTCCATCTGCACCTTTAGCGCGTCGGTACTTCTTTACTACAGTCGCAGCCCCGCGCACATATTCTTCAGCCAAATGATCTATGGCGTCACTGGAGCCGGACAAATGACAGTATATGGCCCCATACTCGCAGAGTATTCGTCGACTAAATATCGAGGAATCTTCCTTACTTTGAAATCGGCTACCTTTTTCTGGGGAATATGGACCGCAAATGCAATTGGAATATTTACCCACTACAAATTCATTGGACTCCTTGCCGTACTGTGTTCGAGTTATTGCTTCTCGACTGGATTTTTTATACCGGAATCTCCCTACTGGTTGGCTTTTAAGGGTAAATATGATCAGTGCGCTGAAACCCATCGATTACTAAAAGGAGAAGACGAGAAGGCAGAAAAAGAATTAAAAGATCTGATAAACTTGCAAGAGGAACTACACGTACATGACGTAAAATTCAGACCAATTAAACAATGCATTTTACACTATGTTGAAATTATACAACTACCAGACGTATACAAACCTATATTGCTATGTTTATTAGTTTTTTTGGTTTATCACATATCGGGAAAACTTGTGTGTGCTGTTTACGCCTTAGAAATAATGAAGGAAATTACTGATAAAGAATCGACAGCACATATTGGCGTGCTAGTTTTAGATGGATTTAGTGTTTTGGGTATGTATATAGGCTGTGGAGTATCTAAAGTTCTCAAAAGACGAACAATTTTGTTAGTGAATTCAACTGTAGGTACAACATTTTTATTCATATTGTCTATTTACTTGTGTCTAGTCAAATTAAGTGTTATATCTCAAAACTCTTATATAGTAATCACTTTACTTGTTGTATATTCTTTAGCAATATGCTGTGGTCCAGCTATATTGTCAACCTCTATTTATGGAGAACTATTACCAGTCAAAGCCAGAAGCTTTAGTATTTTTTGTACTTCCACGCTCGCTATGTTATATTTTGCTACAATTATTAGGGTGTCACCAATGATGTTTTCTGTTTTCGATATATTTGGAACTTTTTTATTCTTCAGCCTTTGTTCAACAATATGTATCATCCTTACTTATAAGTATTTACCTGAAACAAAAGATAAAAGCATTTATGAGATAGCAGCATTGTTTAAGAAGGATCAACCTCAAGTAAGGTCTGAAGACGATCCTAAAAACGTACAAACATGAAATCAACGTTAAAATTCAACGAATTATGAAGTGAGCTTGGTCAGATGGCATTTCGTGAGCCTCTTCACATAAAACTTCATCATAGATTATTATGGTGGCGTTTTAACTATTTTGTGGAAGAGTGCACGGAATAGTGAAGAATTATGCAGGTTATTTTCTCAACTCTTCCTATTTTTATAATTATAAATAAATAAATAAATAATAATAAAGACGTCTATTGCCAATAAAAGAAAGTACAGAATATCATTATATTTTATCTAGCGGCTTCTACTTAAGTGTCGCAGTAGCCTTTAAATTATGTTAAAAGAATATGACTAATTTTATGAATTGAAGTCTTTATTGTGACGCACAGTTCCGCATTAACAGCGTAAAGTAGTAAATTATTCAAAATGTTTAAGAAGTAGGATAGGTACATCTATGAAATACTAAATATTTTAGAATCTAGGAACAAAGAGTAAGGTTATCAATTCAGTTCATTAACCAAAAAAATATACCAACCCATTACAGAAAACTATTTGTTTTCGACTTTTTGTTATCACTGAGTGTTTCTATAAATGTTTATACTTAGGGGAAAAGTGCCGTCATCGTATGCTTCGCTTGTTTTTAACTTTAAAATAAGTTAATTTAAGTATTTGGTGTAAACATTAGGTTAGATACATCTGTATTCTAGACAGATCTTACCAAATTGACTGACAAAAGTCGAGTTTAGGCTGAGTTGTACCAACTTACTTTAACAGTAACCGGTGGTTTGTGTGTATGGTAAAGAAAGATGGTGCAACCGAGCCTAAAGTGTTTATTTTGGAAACTAGATAAATGTTACTCTAAGGCTGAGTTGCACCATCTTACTTTAACTTTGACAAACGTCAAAAATTTGTCAAACTCCAAACAAAAAACGACGGTCATCGTTATAGTTACGATCAAAGATAGGTGGTGCAACCCAGCGAATAAATGAAAAATATAAGATACTAGCTTTTGCCCGCGGCTTCACCCGCGTGAAATTTAGTTTGTCACAGATCGTCATAAATTATAGCCTATATGTTATTCTGGGTTATAAACAATAATACTGTAAAGTTTCATGAAAATTTGTTCAGTAGTTTTTGCGTGAAACATCCACACAAGCTTTCGCATTTATAATATTAGTAGGATGACAATTACTATGATGTCCAAGGGTTGTAGGTTCTCCTGGAGGAGACCCTAACGATGCGACCATCTTACTTGTACATGTTTTTTTGTTTGCTTTGTTACTTTTTGTGTGATACACAATTAAAAGTTTAACTATTTCGTTAATAAAATGTATATTGATATAACGGGATTGTTTTATTTTATAACATTAACTTAAATATTATGATACTAACGGTAAGACCAAAACTGGCCTAATTGTTACATAACAGAAATCTATGTGCCCTATACATAGTACGTACGTAGAAATGACGGCCGATGGGGCAGCAAGGTTCTGGAGTGGAGGCCACGTACCGGAAAACGCAGCGTGGGACGTCCACCCACAAGGTGGGCCGACGACCTGGTAAAGATAGCAGGAAGGCGCTGGATGCAGGCCGCTACCAACCGTGCGATGTAGAAGTCATTGGGGGAGGCTTATGTTCAGCAGTGGACGTCCTATGGCTGAAATGATGATGATGATCCAGAAAATTAATTAATTCTAGATTTTTTATGATTCCGTTTATCCAGCACAGCAATAAATTAGTGAGTTACAATTTCATTTTAACTTACGTTTTGCAAATGTTGACATAAGTGAAGGCTGTAACAGTTGGTGAGCTGACTGAGCTGCCAAGCGATGGTGGAGCTGGCCGGAAGTGGCCGGCTGCGCCGCTGGCCCACAAACCTACTCGGGCTATCGCTGAGCTATTTCCTACCAAATGTGTCAAGTCTTCCTGCCCTAAATACCGTGACATCAACTGTTACGTTAGATTTGACAAACTAGAACCAAGAATTAATGTATTTGGAGAAATAGCAAAATCATTTTTGTAGTTTACGACTCTCCGCAAGTTTCACATATTTTGTGTAACTCAGCACAATAATGATTTGACAACTTAACTACTAACTGTTATTAGGTTTCTATTACTATTGGAAAAACTAAAATGATCAATAACTAGGCATAGTTCAAAATTATTATCACAAAGTAATCCAGCCTAATTAAGATTACTACTCATCATCATCATCATTATTCAGCCATAGGATGTCCACTACTGAACATAGGCCTCTCCCAATGCTTTCCATGTTGATCGATTGGTAACGGCCTGCGTCCAGCGCTTCCCAGCTACCTTTACGATGTCGTCGGTCCACCTTGTAGGTGGACGTCTCACGCTGCGTTTTCCGGTACGCGGCCTCCATTCCAGAACCTTTCTGCCCCATCGGTCGTCAGTTCTGCGTACTATGTGCCCTGCCCATTGCCACTTCAGCTTGCTAATCCTGCTACTAGTACCTGAGATTACTACTAGTACCTACTATTCATAGCCAGACTTAGGTAAAAACAAAAGTATTGTAATTTAAGAACCGAATCCAGAGTAGAGTTCATTCTACCAGCCAGACTTTGTAGAACTCCCGCTAAAAAACTAGCAATCCCATCAATCCGAACCGGAGATTTATTATAGCAATTTCCCGATGCACCCGGTTCGCATTAGGTTCTAGGCCTCGGCGACCCGATGACCTAGATGCGGGGCCTTGATCGTCCTGCTGCACATTTGTTTACCACTGCAAAATGCATTCCGCTGAAGGGTACTATAATGAGGTTATGGGACCGTAGGTTTGTTTCCCTAGGAGTGTTTATTTCAAACTAGCTTTTGCCTGCGGCTTAACCCAATCGAAATTTAGTTTGTGACAGAACGTACAACGAACATAATACGGGCTATAATATTTATTATAGCCCGCATTATGTTATTCTGGGTTATAAACAATAATACTGCAAAGTTTAATCGAATTCCGTTCAGTAGTTTTTGAGTGAAAGAGTTTTTTATTTTTTTATTTAAATGATTTCCTCTTTAACATTATAATCGTGTATCAAGACCACAGGAGCCTGTAAGCTTAACAATTACAACACAAGTAATTATGGGCTAGAATCTTAAGTACTATTTCAAACACATGACATCTAAGTTTTTGAAGTGAGTAAACAAATATTTCAATTAACTCCTCTCATTTTAGTGCTGTATGTACTCATAATAATGAAAAGGCAAAATTCTTTTTAAGAACTCCTCTGTCATAAATTTTCGTCTCTTTGTTGGCGTATAGTTCTGCATAGTTCTGTCAATAGGACCATGTTTGCAGCGGCATTGTAAACGCATCACAATCCGATAATCGTTGCCAAACAAGCGACGAGGGCGACCACACGATTAATCGCTCTACAGCCGTTCCGGACACGCGCGGTGCATCGCCCTTGAACTGCGCAAAGTGGGTCACGTGGACACTTCATGCTGCACAGACATATCAAGCAGGACTCTGGGACTTATTATGTAATTTGTTTTAGGGTCTATTATGCTATAAAATTATGTAGTCTCAGTGAAAAGCTAAAAACTCTACACTGAAAAAGTTTGAGTTTCTCAATTACATGAGTAATTGTGACTGGAGATTTTATTGTTTGAGAGTTCCTAAACTACAAGGGTACCTACACCACCAGTCACAGGGTGGTTTTACTTTTTGTTTTAACTTTTAGAGGTTATGTAATTTATGGGTAGTGTTTTCTCCCTAATTTTGCTTACAATAGCAATTTTGTCGAGTCTTACAAATTCTACAATGTTGTGTAAGTAATATGTCTATTATTATGTTCACACTTTGTACTTGTGCTTATTTACGATTTTAAAGTTCAGAGATACATACCATCTTCAAATATTATTGTCATCAAAAGATCTCAATAATATGATCACATTTCGAATCCGATGATGGAATGACTCAAAATGCTTGTTATAGGAAGTTCTCTACATACATTTTTTTTTTGTATTATGTGAACAATTATGATAAGGTGTTTTTAATCAATTTCGATGAAAGGTACGTACCAAGTACCAACAACAAGCAATGTGAACAAACAAGTACCACAGTTAAGATAGAACAGCCGTTTAAAGATAATTTAATTTGTGTGCCTCGCTGTGCACACACGTCCCAGCCCAAATAACGGGGTGACCACACTATCGATTGGGGCCGGTCCCGAGCGGCGGTGCAACGACCTTGAACTGATGCTGGTGCCGAAGTAGGTCATCGCGACGTTGCACACGAGTTTCAGTCTACATTTAATCACAATTTAATGGACGTTTCAAAAATAAATTTTAGGGGAACTAGATTGGGAGTGTCTTATTTGAAACATTAATGTATAGTACGAGCCATCATGGATAAGTCACATGTTAACCACCTTACTGTGATCATTTTGAAAGTTAAGTACTTTCATATCCTCGTCTTATTCAAGAGCAGATTATGAGATTAAAAAGAAGGGTTTGGGAAAACTCAGAATGTGTGACAAAGTGTAATTTAAAAAATCTGCTTAGGCGTGTTGCCTGCAGAGTAGAATA